GTTGGCCTGATCAACAATCCTAATCCTGTTGCATCACTTTTATCATAGTCGATATTCCTAAGGAATTAGAATACCCTCTGAATACCTGTTTTTTATGTCTGAACTAGTGCTTGATATTCTCTCTTGGCATCTGAGGAATTAGGGCAAAGAGAGAATACCAAAGGTTTTTTTCTTAAAAGGAATTGCGGAAAAATAACTTTAGGCATAGGGAAAGAAAAGGTGAAACATAGCTTTTTAGAATAACGAAACAAATTGGTCATTGTATCGCGATTCATACACCACCCGGGAATTATTCTCATCGTCACATATAATCTTCTCGTAAATTTAGTTTTCGTATTATTGTAGTTCGAAACAAACAATCAACCATTTCTTTTGTTCAATTGATATTCATTCGAACAAACTTAATTTCACTGTGCAGTCCTCAAGAGACCGACTTTGGGGTTTTTCCCATTATTACTACATCGATAAAATAGTACACTTGCTATTTTACCGATCAGGTACCATTCACGAGAGCTAATTTCACATGGAAGCAAAATCCCTAATTCGGAGCTACAAACCCTAACAATGGTGAATTACAATATAGGCCATATAAATGCAATTAATCAATACATGAAGCTTGCAAATGTTCCATAGATCAAGAATTTACAATTAATTCATCCTAACAATTCCTAAATCATGCTATTCGAATTCAAGAACAGAGTTATGTCGTGAGTGACTTACAAAGATTTTTGGGGCTTGGACGGCTTGGTTCTTGATTGCTTTAGCTTGCTGACACTCCCAGGAATCGATTGGGATGGATAGAAAGCCTTGAGGATGCCTGGAATATGGAATTCGATCTTACACTTTTCCTGATTTTTTTCCAATATTGCTTTGCTTGCTGCGCCTCTTTCTAACCTCCCTTTTAGGTCTGGCTTCGTTCTATATGTATTAGTGAAGGGATTAGGGTTGATAACTGCTCTCAATCTTCCTCCATCAATGATTTGGATCTTTGATTTGATTCACTTTGAAAAATTTCCAAAATTGGCCAATTTCAATCCTTTTGTTCACACCATGCCTTGATACAATTTTGAATGACTTGCTAGCTGTAATTGGAACCTGAAACAAGCACAAAATCTCTTACTTTCAATATTTTGGATTTTATTTGATTTGTTTTGATTTAAATTGAATTAATTTAAATAAAAATCAAAATAAATAATAAAAATAATATATGGACAAGTGGCAAAGGCTAGAGCTCGTGGACTATGTTTCCAACTCAAAATAAGTGAAAAAGATTGGGCCCATTTGGCAAAAATTGAAGTTTTAGGGATAGTTGACTTTTGGCAATTTTTCAAAAAGGGTCAACTTCAACAATGTATAACTTCCTCAATTTTGACTCTTTGGATATGTTCTTGGACTTTTTATAAAGCTTGAGATGTCCTCTAAGCAATCCTTTTGGTCTCATCTCAATTTGATATTCCATGCTCATGTGTGAAGCTTTGACAAAAAGGGTGTTTTTGTTGACTTTTTAAAATGATCTATAATATCCAAATTCATAACATCTTGTGAGGGCATATTTTGAACTTTGGAGATGAATATGGATTGTAGGGAAAGTTATGAGAAAGTATGAGAAAGTTATGCTTGGTCAAAGCTGAGTTGACTTTTCCTACAAACCTTAATTTAACAACTTTTGAATCATGATGAATTATGAGCAATCCTTGATGAATCATGATCAACCCTTGATCAAATGATGAAATATACTTCAAAATGAGGATGTTGACCAAAAATATTGAAGTCTAACTGTATGTGAGCCACAATTGACTTTTGCCCTAACATAGTCGATTTTTAGGCCTTTGAGCAATTGACTGAGCAAACTTCCTCTGCAAGGCTTGAAACTTGACATGGATGATCTTGAGAACATGTTAGGACATTGGTGAGAATTTAGGATCACTTGGATTCAAGTATCTTTATGCAACATGAAATCCTAATTTGAGGTAGACTGTCTTAGGAGAGAGCTTGTCTGGCCAACTCTTGGACTACCTTGAGCAACTTGAGGATCTTTCTTGAAATGTTTTGAGAAATATGGGAGGGAAAATTTTGGGGTACAACACCACCACTTAAGGCTCGTGACATATTACCCACATCTTTATTCATTAAGTATTTTGAGTTTTTGATCAAGAAAGAGTTTTAGTTTTAAATATGCAAATGCAAAGAGGAATAAAAAAAATAAAGGGAAAACTCAAATCCTAATATTGTCATGCAAAATGGCGCTAGAGTTAGGATATCAAAGGGGAAACTACCTAAAAGTTATCATGCATCATGGTCCTAAGGTTAAGGATCCAGGGAAACTTCTACCTAATGTTATCATGCTTAGTTTAGAACCGAAAGTCTATTTAATTCACACCTTAAACAAGATTGAATCAAACTCTTAAGGGTACATGTGAACACAACAATCAACAAAGAAAATAAGAAGGTTTTGAAAATTAAAGAAGGGGAGAAGATGAAAAGACTATCCTAAAGCATAAAGTAAAGGCTAAGGTAAGGAAGATCTGACCAACCAAAAAGTCAACATTTGACATAATAGAGTAAACACATAATTCTTATCCTTTAGATTAAAGCCACAAGCAAAGAATAAACCAAGAGTATACCAAGCATCAAGTGAAAATAAATCACAATAAGAAAGTGCATCATATAAAACCAAGGTATCAGATAGAGCTCAAAGCATCGAATGATCATCAAGATACCGAATAAGAATCTCTGCATCAGATGAAACTCCAAACAAACAGACAAAACCAGGATAACAAAGATGTAATCCAAAGGTCTCATATGAAAAAGGAACTAAAGTATAAATGGGTTAGAACCATGTATCAGAGCTAAATGAAATATGAAGTAAATGTTAATTAATTAATTAATTAATTAATTAAGAGTCAATTAAATTAATTAATAAGGTTAAGAAAAATTAATTAGCAAAACTAATTAATTTTTAATAACAAAATCAACTAACTAAATAGACTTCTAATTAATTAACTAAAAGCAACAAAGTTGTGCTAAGAGTAAGAAGTGCATTTGAGCCATCTTGAAATCTTACATAAACCAAAAACCAAGTTAATAATCACAAGAGGGATTAAAAATAGCACCAAATGAAACTTGCATTAATTCAATATTTTTCTCAATCAAGAATCACATATATGTATGAAGGAAGGAGTAAAACAAGAACAAGAATCAAATTGGTAATTGTTATAACCTGATGTTTACCCTTAAGATCCCTCATCATCTCATGGTCTTACAATGCATCAAGATCACACATTTGGGATGCCTATCACTTATACTCCTCTCTTTAAGTTTCTCCTTGAGGTATCACCAAGCACCTTAATTGTGTATCTTGTACATACATATTTTATATTTACTAATCTCTAACCAAAATTCAAAAAATATGTTATGTTTGTTTTTTTCTTTTAGAAGACAGGGATTTGGATCAAGAAGTTGAGACGTTGATTCCTTGTGTTGAGGTTTTTAGCCATCAAGTCAAAGTGTTTTGGTGTGGATTAAGATGTCATCAACTTTTCAAGTGGAATTTGATTATTTCTTGAATTTGTGATTTAATTGAAGTTTGGTTCATAGTTGTGAAGTATTTCTATCAATTTTGAGTAAAAAAGAATTTATGATTATGGTTTGTGTGGAATGCAAAGTTGTTAATTCAAACAAATTCCAATTTTTCCTCAAGAATTGATTCATAAAGTTTATGTCCATTCATGTGAATTGTTTGGAATTCAAGATACAAGTTTAGGTCCATTGCAAGTTACTTGAAAACTTAAGGCATTCGTCTTTATTCAACAATGATTCAAGATTTCTCAAGGTTATTCAAAAGTGGTGTTTATGCTTCACTCATGAGAAAATTCATTCAATATTTTATTCAAGTATTGAAGTTTACACATCTAAAACTCAAGAGAAATTGTTCAAGTTTCAAGCATACAAATTTATCCAAGATTCCCTTTTGAGTTTCAAGCAACTTCACAATATTCCATTCATTGTTTGGGATCCTCATTCATCACTTCGAAACTTCAAAGTCACATCAATTCTACACAAGTTCTTCTTACTTAAACTTCAAGAAATTTCATTCATGATTCAGGTTCCATACGTCATCTTCAAGACAAGCTACAAGTTTGATTCAAGATTTTAATTCAAATCAAAATTACAAGAATACACCAATATTTGTTTTCTTACAACAAGAATAATTCAAGCCTTTCTAAACCTAAACTTCAACTTTTTCCATCAATTCTCCAAGGCTTATTGAATCAATAATATTCTTCAAACATTTCTTCAAAGCTTCATTCCAAATTCTTCAAGACTTCATTTGACACAGTTTCCTCTCCAATAATCATCATGCCATGAAAACAAGAAAATTGAAAGGGTGTGTTAGCATATCAATTCAATCAAAACAGCCCATGGTTCATAAGGTTCAACAAAAAATCAATTTCATCATATTCATTTAAACACAATTCCAACAAAAAGAACAACAATTCATTCCAATATTTCCCCAACAAATACACCAACAAATTAAAAAAAAACACATACAATTCAAGCCCATTTGACATTTCAAAACAACACAAAACAATGGAAACAAAAGGAGATTATTGGTCTCAAGGCAAGGAATTTCACAGGCTGGTTTGAAGCAAAATTTGAAAATTCCATTTCTCATTTTTCAGCCCAATCATTCTCACACAAAGCCCTAATCTGAAGCTCTATATAAACATTGATTCACACTGATACAAGGGGGAATTTTTCGGACTTAGACTGACAAACTCATAGCAAAGGGAAAAAATTGAATCTCACCTGAAACAGTCGCCTCCGCGCCTGAAATCTCCAGCCACCACACTGGAATTCAGAAACCACCGCGCCTGAAGCCTCCCACTATCGTTTCCTTCTTTCTTCTTCTAAAAAGTTGAGAATTCCTCTGTCTTGCACGAATTTGCTTTCCTCTTTACATTTCCGTGTTGATTATTGTTTGTTTGGACTAAAACTTTTTAAAACTTTGTTTGTAGATTTACTCTGATCGATTGTTTTTTTTTTTTTAAATTACTCTCAAATTTGAAACCAGAAGGCAAAACTATACACGAAAACATTAAAAAAAATTGAAAACCGTAGGTTTCACGGTGGCACCGCCGTACCATCACCAACGCACCACCGTGAAACTTCATTTTTGTCTCCTGTTGTTCTTCTCTACCACTGGGTTTTGTTTTTGTTCTTCTTTTGTTATGAATTTTTGTTTTGTTTAAAAAAAGAAAAACAATATGAAAGGGTGGGCTGATACATAGAAAAGAGAGAGATATGAAGTTTTATTGAAAAGTGAAATAATTGTTGTTGTTGTCCAACGATAACATTAAGTTTACAACAAGTTTTTTTTGCCTCGAAATCTGTGCGCCTCCCAGTGGAGGAGAAGTGGTCCCTCCGCTACTTGTCCTCGTCTGAAAAGATGATGGTAACTCTAATTCTCTGTGCGCCTGCATACTGTTTTTACAGTGTACCTCGTAGATCTTACATAAAATGGCATGATGACTTGATCTGATGACTATAAATTTATCTGTTTTAATTTAGTTTTACTATTTTGATTTTAATTCGTTTGAACTTAAAAAATTTATAATAAATTCGTTTTTCGTTCAAAGAATATGAAAAAAAATTCATAAAATTCATTTATATAATTTCTGACTTAGTGTAATTTTTCTGGAATTTAATTGCAATTTTTGTTATTTTTAATTATTTTTCACTTATTTGAGTGATTTTAATTAGTTTAAAAATACTTTTATGTTTTCAAAAATTGCCAATTTTTTTTTATAAATATTAGAAATCATTTCTGACTTTTCTTTGTCTCATTTAATTTTTATTTGATGTTTTGAATATAGTTTTCTATTTATCCATTTATTTTCATTTTAAAATCATTTTAAAAATCATCTTTCTTATTATATTTTGGTTATTAAATACAATTTTATTTTTGTATATATTCTGGATAATTTTGGATCATATGAATTTTAGTCATAAGTTTCATTAACATCATTGGATCTTGGGTGTTATGTTTAAACTCCACTAAAATGGATGAATGATTTTAATGATAGCTTGATTAATCATTTCATTCAAATGTGGGATTTAATTTCTTGTCTATTTCTACTTCATCCCCTTTCTTTTATTTTCTTTTTTTGATCAATTTATATAAGGCATTTGAACTTTAAGTTCATCTAAGCTTATGGATAGTTGAAGAACTTTCAACATTTTCAAACTACCTCTAGGTGATCCTTTGATCATTCAAGGTACTTGACATTGTTGAAAGTTTATCATGATGTATCTTCCATGACCTAGGTCTTGATCACTTTTTTTTACTTGTGCCACATGTTTTAGGAGTATGGTTTCTACCATATCTCTAACATGTATGGTACATACATTGTTTTTGTCTGGTCTCGTATAATATTTACTTCTACATAAGTTCGTCTATGATTGTTTAACATAATGCTAAATTTATCCTGAATCGGAAAATGATCTTTTATGGCTCAAACTTTATATTTGAATGTCCAAGTATGATTGATTGGTGATCTTTGGGTCCATACCCATGAAGCTTGATGTTAGGAGACTTTGGTTTTATCAATCCTCTAATGGGTCTTCATTATTTTTGGTCCAAGATCATCATTCAATCATCATTGATCATACCTTTGACCATTAACTTCTAACTTACTAACAATTAACTTTTACTTTATGCTTTTACTTTATGTTTTTATTTTATGTTTTTATCTTTATTTACTTTTATCTTTAGCATTTACATTTCATGCTATTTTGTTTTCTTTTTTCACTTGAGCATTTATTTATATATGTCATTTCATCTTTGCTCATTTGAGATTTCTCTTTCTTTTGAAGATACTTAATAACAAACTTGAACATTAAAAGACTCAAGGCTCTTTATGGACTATTGGTTACTATCCTTGACATATTGGAGTTTTGGACCTCTTGGACTTAGGATTAGAAACCTTGATACTTTGAGACCTTGGGACCTTTGGACCTTCTTTTGTCTTTGTTGTTATTCTATTTGTGTATTGGAAAATCTTTTATGTGCAGGTGTTGTCATGTTGGCCTTAAGTGATCTATCTGATACATGGCTCAATATTGAAGACCTTGCTTTGGGTTTTAAAACCCTAGGTTTCTATGATACTTCCTTACTTGTGATTTATTTTCAAATGGTGATTGGTATGCTCTTGGTCTCCTCTGTACTTGTGGCTTTAATTCAAAGGATGAGAATGCTATATTGACTCAATTATGTTAATTGTTTTCTTCTTGTTTGGTTAGACCTTTCCTAACTTAGATTTTACTTTGTGCTTTAGGATAGTCTCTTCATCTCCTCTCATTTTCTTTAATTTCAAAATCTTCCCCATCCTTTTCAAAACTCTTATTGTTTTCAAACTTGAATCACTTTCATAATAAACTTGGACTTAGGTCCAAGCATTTTCAAAACTCTTTTTTTAAAATTAAAACCTTAATCCATTTAATCATACTTTGACATATTTTAAAAGATTAAAAGTCATTAACCTTATTCAAACTTTTTGTGCACTAGTTCACTTTTTCTTTTAATGTTTTCAAAAAGTTTAAGATATTAGTCTTTTCTTTGAGTGTTTGTAAATCTCACCAATTTAACAAACATGGTAATATTAAACTAAATTCCCACTTATATGTTAATACTTGCATTGTTGAGTTGGTCCAGACTATAAGTTCTCCATATTAAAGATGAAGCAAGTTATCTTTTACCATAATTGTCATAGTTTATTGGTTTTTCACTCAGAATGTCTTTTACATTAAAACCAATCATAACAAATTAATTTTGGTCTTTTTTACCCGAACTATATAGGTTTTGATTTCAACATTGCAAATTGTTGGTATGTAGGCCCAAAGCTCATTGGAAGCTTTGTCAAATCAAAAATCATAAAAAGTACATCTTTTCTTTTATCCCTTCAGTTATCTTTTGCAAACAACATTTTTAGCCAAAAATACACAGATTTTCAAAGAGGTTCCTGTGGAGTACCGTAAATGTTTAAGATGCTAATACTTTTCCTTTACATAATCAACCTTCTTACCTTGATCTCTAGTTTTTTGTGGATTTTATTCGCTATTTTCCCATTTTCCTTTTAAAATAATAAAATGCGGTGGCGACTTTTACTTTGTGAGTTAAGTTAATCAATGGCTTAGTCCCAACTTTATACTGCTACAGTAACTAACATTCAACTTCTGAACTAACATAGGAAGTGGTAAAAGATATGAAATCTGAAGAGTTAACAACTTACAATCTTAAGTCTCATGAAAGCTTTAAGTCTCAAAACAAACCCCATACACATAATACATTTCAATTAAATTATTCCAAACACTAAAACCAAAATCAATTAGCAATAGCTCATTGCTACTCAAATCAACTTCAAAGCTTGAAAACCAAGTTTTAAAATAAACTTTAATCACCTAATCAAAATCTGAGCAACAACTCAATTTACACAAGATGACTCCATAATTCCATCTCAAACATGTTTTGAAACCAATGAGAAACAATGAATATTAAAACCAAGTTTAACTCATTCAAAATTGACACAAGTAACACCAAAAATGTCATCAATAATTCTTAAATTAATTGAGTAACATGGTAATGGAATCAAACTTCATCACATTTATCATTATAACTTCGACAATGCAAAACAACCAAACACCATAATCATCAATCAAAGCATCAATCACATCAACTCATGTAGCATGATATTGACATCAAAATCTCATTCCAATTTGACACAAAAAACTCCATAATTAAACCTCAATTTAAACAACAACATGTTCATCATTTAAACTCAAGGTTCTCATTCACTTTCAACATATCAATTGCAAACAATAATCACCATTATCTCATCATTTAATTCAACAACAATATCACCAATAACCTTCAATAACAATATTATCTACAAATTCAACACTTATTTACCATAACAAATAACAACCTCAGTTAATTCAATATTCATTTAACAAAACAACCCATAAAGTTAATTAAATAAAGTAGTGAAAGTATATGAACTACCAACTCGAAGATGATGGAAGAATTCTTGTTGTTGGATGTAGCAAGTGATGAACACGTGCAATTATTATTCATAGTTGAGAAGTGGAATATGGTTGTGGGTTGGATGTTGAGCAAAGAGGAGATGAAGGTTGTGCTAGCTGAAATGGAGCTTCGGTTGATGAGTTGTGTGGTGAGCAGAAGACGAAGGGCGGATGGACGGGGGAGATTGTTATGGAACGAAGGGCAGCTGGGTGAAGTTGTTGCAGAAATAGTGAGTTATGTGAGGATACCGGAAATGGGCGAAAGTGGCAGGTGGATGAGGAAGATAATAGGTGGTTCAGTGATGACTAGAAAGGGTGGTCGGTTGTGGAGGGATCTGTGAGAGATTGATGAAGAAAAATGGAGTTCTCTGGGTTTCTTTTCTTATTGTTCTGATATTAATCTGTGATACTCCTCCCCTCCTATCTCAAATATAGCTTATCTCTATATACCTTACACTTTAGGGTTTTCTCAATTTTTTTATGACTAAAAAACCCTTTTAGATAAAATTGACCTACAAACTTAAAAGAACAAAAATAAATACACTCAAAAACATTTTTGTTTTAATTTTTTTAAATAAAAAAAGGACACTTAAAATAATAAAAAAAATATTAAAAAAAGAAACTTAATTAATTCAAAAAGAAATGAATACATTAAAATAAACTATGAGTCACAAAGGTTAATAAAAAAGACTGCAAATGACCAAAATTGAAATAAAAATGAAAATAAGAATACCCGGCTGAGCAGACACTGACCGTTAAATAAGAGACTGCAAACTGTACCAAAAAATAAAGCGAGTACACCAACATGATCTACGTGCGACATGGATTCATAAAACAGTCAGATAAAGGTGGAAACTCAAAATATTTTACCTATTAATTTTCTGCACAGTATTAAATCGATTTTAACAATCTATCTTTAGAACCAAAATATCAATATTATCGACATATAAACAACTTGACGCAATGCACGAAGTGTGTAAAGAGATAAAAATGCATGAAGTGAAATATCAGGTATTTTTCAACTCTAAAACGATACAAATGTTGGTTTAAGTTGACTTTTGGTCAGACTAAATGCATGAATAACTGACTAATGATACAAGTGCAATTAATAAGTGACCATGGGGCAAAATTTGGGGTATGACAATAGTCCTTATTTAAGTGTTTTCTATCCGGAGATGTGAAGATTGAAATCTTCATCTCGACGTGATTGAAGATACTTAAATATAAGACGACTCAACTTTTGGTCCTAAGATGCCATGCAATACTCATGATTATCAATGAAAAAGACGGAACCCACAGGGGAAACAAGACACCACTGTGAATAACAACAGAACATAGACAAAGTTACGACACAAATCAAACCAAAATAGATGATTCAACAAGGAAAATAAATCACTTGGGAACAACATGACTCTGTGGATAACTATGAATGGAGAAGGCCAAAATCATAGTTAAAGAATGAAAATACAAAGTAAGATTCTAATGGGGGAATTCTTAACAATGCAAGCAACAAGCCAACAAGGAAGTAATCTTTAAGAAAGGATTACTGACTCGAATGGGGAAAGAAACTTAACTCTGTTGGAGAAAAATCAACTGTGTTGGGGTAAAGAGGACTCAAATCTATTGGGGAAAAGAGGACTTAACTCTATTGGGGAAAAACCCAAAAATAAAAAAGAGGAAACAAGATAACATAATCTCAACAAATGAGAGTAACAAAGGAAAACACCAACTAACAGACGATGGTGGATTACCAACTCAGGGTTGAAGGTAGAAAATCAGAATAACATACTGACTCAGAGATAACGACAAACTACTAACTTACAGATGAAGGTAGAAAAGTAATAATATACCGACTCACAGATGACGCTAAACTACCAACTCAGGATTGAAGGTAGAGAAACTAGGATACACCAATTTTTACTGAAGCTGAACTACTAACTTTTACTAATGGTAGGGCCTATATTAACAATAACAAGTTTTCCCAAAATTCAGGCGTTTTGCCTAGAACGACTCTCAACTTCTTCCTTTACCAAGATATCACTTGGAAAGGGTAACAAATTTCACCAACTTTTGGATTTCACCAACTTTTACTGAAGCTGAACTACCAACTTTACTAAAGGTAGGATCTGTATTAACAATAACAAGTTTTCCCAAAATTCTGGCGTTCTGCCTAGAATGGGTCCTAACTTCTTCTTTAACCAAGATATCACTTGGAAAGGGTAACAAACTTCACCAACTTTTGGATTTCACCGAAAACAGTAATAGCTTCTTATTTAATCAAAACATCACATGAAAAGGGTAATAAAGTTCACCCGACTTCTGGATTTCGCCGAGAACGGTGAATAGTTTCTTATTTGACCAAGATATCACTTGGAAAGGGTGATAAACTTCCTCTGGCTTCTGATTTTGCCGAGAACAGTGAATAGTTTCTTCTTTGACCAAGATATCACTTGGAAATGGTGATAAAATTCCTCTGACTTCTGTATTTCCCTGAGAACGGGGAATAGTTTCTTCTTTGAACAAGATATTACTCGGAAAGGGTAACACACTTTACCAACTTCTAGAATTCGTCGAGAATTGTAACAGTTTCTTCTTTAACCAAGATATCACTCGTAAAGGGCAATAAACTTCCTCTGACTTTTGGATTTCACCGAGAACGGGGAATAGTTTCTTCTTTGACCAAGATATCACTTGAAAAGGATAATAAACTTCACCTGACTTCTGGATTTCACCTAGAGCGGGGAATAGTTTCTTCTTTAACCAAGATATCACTTGGAAAGGGTAATAAACTTTACCAAATTCTTGATTTTGCCAAGAACGGTAATAGCTTCTTCTTTAATCAAGATATCACTGAAAAAGGGTAATAAAATTTACCATCTTCTAGATTTTGCCAAGAACGGTAATAGTTTCTTCTTTGACCAAGATATCACTCAAAAAGGGTAATAAACTTCCTCTGACTTTTGAATTTCCCCGAGAACGGCGAATAGTTTCTTTTTGACCAAGATGTCACTTGGAAATGGTAACAGACAAGCTCCTTAAAAGATAATCACTTGCTGGAGATGATCAACAACTCTGTCGAGGTAACTTAAAGAGATAAGAGTAGATTGGATAGATAATATGATGCTTAAATAAAGAGGCAATCACTTGTCGGGGATAATGAATTGACTGAATCACATCAAGCTTCTCAAATAAAGAGACAACCATGAAATAATGTTGAATTTAATTTCACCAAGCTTCTATACTAGGGATAAACCAGAGAGACAACCACTTGATGTGAAAATGAGCAATGATGGAGATAAGAAAACTTCTGTTGAGATTACCATAACAATATTGTTGGGTAGATAATAATGTTCTTCATCCTCTGACGGGGAAATATCACAAATAAGTCTCTGGTGAGGAATACCAGGTCTTTAAAGGTACAAAGTAAATGCACTCTTCTGAGGAGAGTTAATCTTTTCTAAGAAAGGTATAGTTGTCAAGGACCAAAGTTCAATCCAGGAACAAACTGGAGAGAAACGTCAATCAAAACTCGACTCAGCGAGAAAAGAGCTCAACTGGAGAGTTGTTCCATCCAGGTAAATGAACTAGGAAGGAACGGTGAAATGAAACTCTCCTACTAGGAACAAACTCAGTGGGGAATTAGAAAGGATGCACACTTTCTGCTTAAGGGTGACACTCTACTGGAGAGAGTACAGACAGAATACATACTCTATGAGGGGATAAACAACAACAAAGAGAGTAGACCAAAAACATCAAAGAATGCAAATGAGAACAAATATAAGTTTGATTATGCATGATGTATATATATATATAAAATAATGAATGAATGTTATGTTATTAGGCATATGCTGACAAAACAAACACACAGACTATGTTGGGGATGACCAGACAAAAACAGCAAGTTCAACCAGACATTCGGCTAAATCACACCAAAGGGGACATTCTGCTGGAGATTAAAAGAAACCAACAAAGGAATAAGAATCCTGATTTAAGGCTTAAATCTCTGAGGAATAAAGATGTTGCTTAAGGAAAGAACATCCACACAAAATTATGTTGTGGTAAGAGGAGGCCTTACCAGGGATAAACACAAAGCAAACTCTTCGGGAAATATCAACCTCTGAGAGGGATAACACTTGTACCAACTCTTCTAAGGGATGGAAATATCAGTTGGGGTATACACAACATGTATCTTCCAAAAGACAACCTTTGAGAGGAATAACACATCTTGCAAAAATCTTCCAAAACCAAGATTAATAGTTGCACAAACTCCGTTGAGGGAAAATGTAAACCTGAGAATTACCAAAGAAAAATCTCTGGTGATAACAACCTCTGAGGGAAATATCTTCTCAGACTTGCAGGGTAACTAAGAAGTTAACATCATATAAAAAAGTCAAAGTTATGGGGATTTTAAATCAAACTCAACACATGGGGAGCGAAAACCCAATAATTGACCGTTGTCTCAACACTTCTTAGAAAGGATGATGCTATTGGATTGTTGCTTGGGGAGCACACAAAAGCAACAATGTCATAACAAGAAAGGTGAAACTTTGTAGGAGATTCTTCATCAAGTCTCAACACAAAGGGAGAAAGAATCCAATAATTGAACAAAAGCTTCACAACTTTACCATCTCTGATTGATCGCAACCTAGTTGGGGACAAGAAATCGCACTCAGTTGGAGAAATATGAATCAAGACTTAATCAGGGAATCATTGGATCACAAACCCCATACCACATAACAACTTGGAGGAAATTGATTATCTGATTAACAACTATAGGGGGAACCATGCACACATCTACAAGGAAGATCATAAGAATAACTCCTGCCTGGGAGAGGATTCTTGGCTTAGGGAAAACATAGTACCTATCTTGACAAAATCTAGAATTCCCTTGGAAACAACTTTGGTGTCTTCAGTTTACGATGTTGAATTTCCGCAGACTGCATGCATTTAAGATAATCTTCCTGACCAACAGTTTTTTAGAGATTTGTCGAATCTTGACATAACTGCTCCAAATTAACTATATTGTATACTCTATGCTCAAGAGCTCTTCTAGGAAACTTTCCTCTTGCTGATACTCAAATGTAAGCTTCCTTGACATCAAACAATTATGTTACAAGTAGAAAATGTTTATTCTAAGAATGAAAATTATAATGCAACAGTTATGTAAGTCTTGAAGATTTTGTTGAAAAAAGTCGCAAAATCTTGTGAACGAATCACTAGCCAGGATGGGACATTGATTTTTTTGTATAAAAGATAACAAAATCTTATGATACCAACACAACTATTTAGCAAAACTCATGGGAGTCAGGAAAAACCATCTCATTGAAGTATGCTTTCGAAA